ATTTATGAGAGCTTGCCCTGCTGCCTGAGAGCTCACCCTGCTGCATGAGAGCTTACCCTGCTGCATGAGAGCTCACCCTGCTGCATGAGAGCTTACCCTGCTGCATGAGAGCTCACCCTGCTGCTTTTTAAACATACAGAAACAGGAAAAGCTCATGTCCCAGATCAGGCACTATAAAGGTATAGATCTGTGTGCCAAACTAGAGGATACTATACAGCTGTGTGAGGAAAAGAGAAAAAGGTACAAATTACAATCTGCTTGGTCTAAAAAAATAGCTGAAGACAAAGAAGTGCCTCCCCCTCATGTGGCAGAGCCTCCGATCCCGATTGGGCAGCCGCTTCCCGGTGAATGGCTCTCTCTCATTCATGTGACTAAAAACAAACACGCAGAGGTTCAGCGGCCAGCTGCCACTTTTGCAACCAAACCAACCAATCAGGTCTCACTTCTCCATCCATAACAACCGTGAGGAGGACATCTCACAAACGCCAGCTATGTGCTGCATTTCAACTTTGTCGTCCGTTGAATCCCCTCCTATAAACCCGCAGGGGCGTTAACGTGGACGCTGAGGTGAATGTGGGCTTCGTGGCTGTGAAGGGAGAGAAGTGAAGCTGACCCACTGCTCACCTGAAGCTCTTCTGTTAAATCTGTTGATCACTGGAGCTGAAATGAGAAAAATGAGACAGGTTTCAGCAACCAGAAAAGACATGGGTTGAGTCATCACTGTTTTAGGAAATTAAATTCACTACTGCATAGCTGCTGAATAGTTCCAGGCTCACTCTTTGCAACACTTTGCTACATATGTAATTGTCTCATAAAATATAATCAATTACATGCAATAGCAGTACAATTGCTCCTGTCAGTGCCATAATTTTTAAACCCTTATTCAAATATAGTCAATGCACTTTGATATTCACAAATTTAACTGAAGAAAAAAAGGCATTATTTTGCAAGAATATCATTGCCATCGTTTTTAAATTAAACTGAATTTAAAACAACAGGCAGGTTATTCCACAGCTTGTGTGGTTAATTAGCCAAAATCAAAATAAACGGGCTTTATGCAATTCCTGATTGCAGATCAGATGACGGACTTCACACTAGTGACTGAGCAGGTAGTGAGTCTGGAACCCGGGCCAGGAAGTGCAACTGTGGACAGAACAGCAGTGCTTCTCCGGGGACCCACAGACACTACGGGCAACAAGAGACATCTAAATGTACGTTGTAGGACTGTGTGAAGAAACTCTATACACATAGAGAGCAGCAGTGGGACTCAAACCTGCAACCCTGTAACTGCGTGGCCGATTTGCACCCTATTACATTTCTTATTATCAATGCTACAAGAACAGGCATGTTTGGCCGTAATGCGCGTAAAATGCCCAAGAATCCTTTGAAGCCTACAGTACTCCCTAATTAAATCTAAGTAAAGAAAAAAAAAATGACAGCCTCCTCCGACCTAATGAAAGGCCTCAGAGGTGAAACAATACATCCTTATGAAAAGCACGAGAGCAGGGCCTTATTTGTATGTTTCTTCGACCAGCTCATCATGGCTGCATCGTGCTTATGGCTGGTTTTCAGGCTGATTACAGCTTGAGCAGGCCGGCTTTCCTGAAACAATGCCCACTCGGGCTCATCAGAGCCGCACTGTCTGCGTGTGATTTACATCAAACTGCCCGCTCGCATGTCATTACACGAACACGTTTAACAACCGTTATTTTAGCCACTTAGCAAATGTGTTTACTGACTCCTGTGACATGTCACTACAGCAAAATTACTAACGAATCCACACACTATTATTTATGTTGCCAGAAAGGAGAAATAAATGAATAACAGTGGCTCTGTAAAACAAGGGAGGCAATAATACAATCTAATGTACTCTCGCAGGCTATTGATCCAGGACATTGGTGCAGCTTGTTGTGGTGCAGGCAGTGTGGTGAGAGCAACGCTCCGACCAAATAATACTGTTTATACAGTATGCAACGTCCATTTCCTAATACACAAGCCCACAATCACACTAACATTGCCTACCTTCTTTGGATTTTATTTATTCATATGTAATATTCAATTTGCTTATGTAAACCGCGGCGATTGTGTCAGGTCTTGCATCACGTGACTGCATGTCACGTGCTTGCATATCATATGACTGGATCAGGATTAATATGATTTCAATTTAGTCAGTGGACAAAGCTTTAGATGTAATTGGAATCGCAGTGGAAGGAGATAGATATGACAAATCTGGGTATTGCATTGTTGCATTATATTATGTATACGCCCTGTGATAGACTGGCATTCCTCCCAGGACGTTACTTTGACTTTTTCTTGGGACACGCACCAGGCTGACTGCAGCCCTGCACAGAATTAGTGAATGGAAGTTCAACAGATGGATATATTATTTAATA